AGCCCAGCTATATCTGAATTTAATTAAAGGATAAGATTTTAATTTCTATAATAAATAATAGAAATGTGCTAAAAGTGAAAAACATGATCCCACAAGCATTTTCCCCTCTATCCAGGTGATAATTTTGAAATGACCTTATCTTTAGATTGAAATGGACCTATTTGCTCTCCAATTTCTATTCTTTCATTCTCCCATCCAGCATAGCCTGAAAAAGAATCAGGGGTTTCTACAGCACTTAGCTGAAAGTGACTGAAAAGTGAATGTAACAGAACCCTGCTGGAAGTGGTAAGGAAACTGGCATTCACATAAACAAAAGCAGAATTAGGTTCAAGGTCTCTGAGCCTACTGAGATTAATTCTGGAGTTTGGGAAGAATTTCCCCTAAAGCAGGAGAATCCATCAAAACCTCCCAACTTTCAGGTATCAACAAAAGAAGCATTGCTAAAGAGAAAGTCACATTCTTCTGTAATCTCCATGATGTATCTGGATTTGAAAGTGTCATTTTGGCGTGTCATGTGGAGGCATGTTGTATACATTAATCGCTGCTGAAAATTACCTGAGGAATTATTGCTGACACTGAACATTTGAGAAGTTTGATCTTCACTGTGAAAGTTGAAATTTTTCAGGGCACTGCAGTGTTCATGAAGAACCTTCTCTTCTGCTCCTTTGCACATTTCCCTCTTCTTCACTCTCATTTTTCTCCTGGTTTGCTGTTCCTTTGCAGTAGGGAAAGAGTCAGAGGGTTTTGATCCAAATGGGCATCCTGCTGCAAGTAACCAAGTGCACAGAAACAATATTTATGTTCAGATGTTATTCTGCTACTCTCTATTTGCCTTTCTGCCTCCCAGTGTGAGGGCTCATTGACCCAGTTACCTCAACAACAGAAATGTGTTCCCTGTACCACCACCTTGCAAACAGTTTTTCAACCTTTCACAAAGGGCTTTAAAGGGCGGGGCAGGTGGAGGCAAAAGCCTTATTATCTTCCATAATTTAGCTTAATGATCCTAGTGATGGTTCTTGTAACTGCAAAAATCCTGTGATACAGTTATAGAGAGCTCTGCTAATGAGAGGGAGAGTGGCATAGTCTAGTGATGAAAGTAAAAGGCTATGAACCAGGGACCAAGTGATCTTCCACCAGTTGTAATCTCAATGGACAAGTAACTGGGTTAGATTCAGCACCCATTACAGGGAAAGTAGTACAAGGCAAAAACAGGTGTTGAGGAAAGTGGGAGGAAAGCCAAGGCAATCTATGGAGTTTCCTTGTTATTCAAATCACCAAGCAAAACTGATCCAGAAGACTTTATACAAGAGACACACTTGACTTCCTTACTTTTGTGACTGATCTTCCCATATTTTTTGCCTCATTTGATCAGAAGTTGGTGATCATAGTGAGTCTGAATTCCCTGCTTGAGATCCTGTAGCACATCAGTTCAAAACCCACTGCAGGCTGAAGTCCAACACATGTCTAGCCTTATTCAAAGTGCTGGGTCCCTAAAACTGTGCAGTGGGTTTAAAAAAGTTAGCTTGCATTGCATGAGACACAAGGTGTCATGGCATTTCATTGTTTAAGTAACATAAAAAACCAACCTCCTTCCACTGTTTTGCTTTTACACATGATGATTTACTTAAGCATTTGAAGAACTGGAGAGATCTTTTCCTGGGGCCCATGTGGCTTGACAAAAAACTTAGAGGTGATCTGGAAACAAAAAAGGACATGTATAGAAAGTGGATGGAAAGCCAGGTGAAAAAGAAAGAATACAGGCTGGTGGCATGGGATTGCAGAGATGGCATCAGGAAAACTAAATCTAGGAAAGAACTGAGGCTAGTGACAGATAGAAACATAGAAACAGAGCAAGTCAGAAGGGGTCTCCCAGGCCATCTAGTCTGACCCCCGGCTCCAGCCAGCTCCACTCACAACATGCCCACCATGTGCACATCCAGCCTATCCTTGAAAACCCACACCGTTGGGGTCTCAACCACATCTCGTGGAAGCCCATTCCACACCCTTGGGGTCCTAACTGTCAGGAAGTGCTTCCTGCTATCTAAATGGAACCTTGGCTCCCTGAGCTTTGCTCCGTTGAAGCGCGTCCTGCCTTCCTCTGCAGGGGAGAACAGGTCTCTACCCATCTCCATGTGACATCACCTCACATACCTGTATGTCGCCAACATATCCCATCTGAGTCTCCTCTTCTCCAGGCTGAAGAGACCCAGTTCCCTCAGCCTTGCCTCATACGGCATCCCATGCAAACCGGCCACCAACCTTGTGGCCCTACGCTGCACTGACTCTAACCTGGCTATATCCTTTCTGTAATGAGGGGCCAAAACCTGAGCACAATACTCCAGTTGTGGGCACACCAGACTCGTGTAGAGTGGTAGTAATACCTCTCTTGATCTAGAAGCCACACTTCTGGCTATGCAACCAAGGGTGGCGTTCGCCCTCTTGACTACCACATCACACTGCTGACTCATGTTTAGCCTGCAGTCAACCAGTACCCTGAGGTCCCTTTCACAAGTGCTGCTCTCCAGCCACTTGTCACCTAACCTGTACTTATGACAGCTATTCCTATGCCCCAAGTGCAAGACCTTGCACTTATCCACATTGAATGCCATCCTGTTGTCTCCTGCCCATTTCCATAGTCTGTCCAGATCCTTCTGGATCTGGAGTGCCTGCTCCTCAGTTGTGGCCACTGCTCCAGTTTTAGTGTCGTCTGCAAATTTGATCAGCAGACTGTTCACCCCTTCTTCCATGTCATTAATGAAAAGATTAAACAGGATCGGCCCCAGGACAGAGCCCTGGGAGACCCCACTTGTCACTGGCCACCATCCTGATGATTCCCCACTAATGGTTACCTTCTGCTTTCGGTCAGTCAACCATGCCCTAATCCACCAGACAGTGCTTTGGTGTATCCCAAACTCCTCAGTGCCTCCACCAGGATATCATGGGGCATTTTGTCCAAGGCCTTGCTGAAATCCAGGTATACCACATCCACTGCATCCCCTCCATCTAGCCACCTCGAAACCTTGTGGGAGAATTCCGCAAGGTTTGTCTGGCAGGACCTGTTTTTGTGGAAGCCGTGTTGTGTGGCTGTCAGCCTCCCTTCCCTATCTAGCATCACTAGATCTCTCTCTATTATGAGCCTTTCCATTGTTTTTCCTACAATGGACATAAGGCTAACAGGTCTATAATTCCCCAAGTCCCTTCTACTACCCTTTTTGAAAATTGATGCCACCACTGATGCCACCCTCCAGTCCTCTGGAACTTCACCCGTTCTCCAAGAGGCCTCAAAAATGGAGACCAGCGGGCATGAGAGAACTCCTGCCAAATCTCTAAGTACTCTCGAGTGTAACCTGTCAGGGTCTGGTGACTTTGTAATGTCCAATGCCCTGAGGAGCCCCTCAACTTCAAGGGGGGTGACTCTAACCTGTGCCCCTAAGTCCCCAGCCTCATCTAATCTCCTATGCAGCTATCCCCCATCCTGCTTTGGGGAGAACACAGAGGCAAAATAGTCATTTAGCATCTGTGCCTGTTCCCTCATATCAGTCACAAAAAGCAGCAGAAAGAAAAAAGAAAAAAAGCCTTCTCCAGATATGTCTAAAGTAAAAGGCAGAGGAAAGAATTGGAGGTTCAACTACTCTATGTGGCTGCCAAGACGATAACAGATGACAAGAAAAGGCAGAAGTGTTCAGTTCCTACTTTGGCACAGTCTTCTCCCAAAAGATCTATGCCAAGTTCTGACCTAGGTAAAAAGAAACCAACTATATCATTACAAGAGCAGGAATACTTGGCTAAGCAATACTGCAGGTGAGAAAGAGCTTGAGGTTGTTGCAGGTCACAGGCTGAATATGAGTTAACAGTGTAATGTAGCTGCAAAAAGGGGCAATGCTATTTTAGACTTCATTAATAGAAGTATTCCTTCCAAATCCCATGAAGTACTAGTTCCCGTCTGTTCAGCACTGGCTAGGCCCAATCTTGACTACTGTGTCCAGTTCAGTTTAAGAAAGTTTATGCTGGTAGGGTTCAGAGGAGGTCAACAAGGATCCAGGGACTGTAAACAAGGCCCTGTGAAGAGTGTTTGAATGGACTGGACATGCTTGGCCTCAAGAAGAGAAGACTAAAAGGAGCTATGATAGCACTCTAAAAGCACTTGAAAGGCTGTCACAAATAGGAAGAACAGGATCTCTTCTTGATCATCCCAGAGTGCAAATGGAATAACGGGCTCAAGTTTCAGGAAGTCAGATTCCAGCTGGATATCAGAAAACATTTCCTGACTGTTTAATCAGTACAAAATGGAACCCATTACCAAGGGAAGTTGTGGGCTCTTGCACCATAGAGGCATTCAAGATGCAATTGGACAGCCATCTGAGAGGGATGGTTTTACTTGATGTCCTGCACTGAGCAGGGGGTTGGACCCCATGGCCTTCTAACATCTTCTAATTCTAATAGTCCATGATTATATTATTCTATGATTCATAGCAATAGTCAGGCAAGTTGCAGGAACTGAACTACAGCTAACAGGAACCATTGCTGAGGAGCAAGGCAAGCAGGATCCACAGCATGGCAAGGCAGGTCATAGCAGGAAAGCATATGCACAGCAGGACAGGATCTGGATCAGGCAAGATGCAGGCTTTACCTCAAGCAGTAAGACCTGTATTCCTTGAGATCAGTTGTTCTCCCAGGGCTCCCGCTGGCACTCATTAGGGGGCTGAGAGATCCAGCACAGTCTGGGGTGGATCCTGTGAATACTGTGGTGGGAGTTCTGGTTCTGGCCACGAGATGGAGCCCCAGAGTAGCCCAGATCCTGGCTAGGTCATCCCTCCAGGGTAGCGGCAATAGTGGCAGTATCAAGTTGAACCGTATCTATCCATCTATCTGTCATGACTCAAAGAGTATACAGCTAATATAAACATGGCAATATATACAACAGTTTGAAAAGTCACTTGCCGATCATCAAAAGTCTTCTTGCCAATCATCTTTAGGAGCAATGATTCTCTGTTTTTTAGTCATACAGTTTGGCTTCGTCACACTCTTTGTGGCTTCCTTTCCTCTGGCTCCAGTGTTTGCCCTGCTCAACAATGTAATTGAAGTCCGCCTAGATGCAAGAAAGTTTGTCAGTGAACTAAGAAGGCCCAATGCAGTAAGAGCAAAAGATATAGGTATGTTTTTTTTAAAAAAATTAAAAGATAGAAATTAAAATTTATATCGAGAGATCAAAAGAAAATAATGCTTAGAATTTGCTTAGAAGTAAGACTGGAATGAAGATAAGACATCACAACAGCTTTTCTTTCTCTTGCAGGGATTTGGTTTAACATTTTGAGTGGAATTGGAAAATTTTCAGTTATAATTAATGTGAGTATTGGGATATGCTTGTTTATGCAATGAAAGTATGGAATTAGATGTGATCACATAAATCTGACCTGAAAACCCATTTTGAGAGAGTAGTTATATTAGAGCTTCTCCACAGAAGGGCTTTAACCCACTTTTAGTAAGCTTCTTCTGTTTTTGTTGCAGGAGGAAAAATGTGTGCTTTACATGATTTTTCCCCCTTGTGTTTGTATTTCTTTTTGTCATATTCAGTTAACCAAACACAAAATGGTATAGCTGCACTAGCCGATTTGCAGCAACACACAAGGCTGTTTCTCCAGTTTGAAAGTGAATATCAGACTTTCCTCATGCTAAAGAAAAACCTGCAAAAAAGGGCTAGAAAATGCAGGAGAGTCTCTAGAAGACAATGACATTTGAAAAGGACCTGAAAACTTATCTGAGTGAGGGATCATGAGAGCACAATTAATACATTCTGTAGACACCCATGAGTCTGTTGCAGCAAGACAACAAAGAGTCCTGGGACAACATAAGTATTTTACACATTTATTTTGACCTAAGTGTACAAAAGCTTAAACCAGAGTAAGGGTACCACAAGATTCCTTTTTGTTTGAATTGACAAGAACTTTAGTTCCTTGGGTTGACATGAAATGAGGTGGAAATAACTAAGAATTTTCTTTAAATGTTATTTGTTACCACTTGCCTCAATCTTCCCTCCAAAAGGTAATACATATCCCATCAGCCTCCATGGCTGGGAACCAATCCCAGCACTGCTCCTGCCTTCATCACCTGCCTCCCCTGAAGCAGGGCACAGGCTGGTAGAATTTTGCCAAGAGACTACGATGGTCATAGCAAACACTCTTTTCCAACAACACAAGAACGACTCTACACATGGACATCACCAGACGGTCAACACAGAAATCAGATTGACTATGTGCTCTGCAGCCAAAGACGGGGAAGCTCTATACAGTCAGTAAAAATTAGACCAGGAGCTGACTGTGGCTCAGATCATGAGCTTCTTGTTTCAAAATTCAGGCTTAAATTGAAGAAAGTAGGGAAAAGCACTAGGCCACTCTGGTATGACCTAAATCATATTTCTGATGAATATGCAGTAGAGGTGACAAATAGATTTAAGGAATTAGATCTGATAGACAGAGTGCTTGAAGAACTATGGACAGCGGTTTGCAACATTGTACAAGAGGTAGCAACTAAAACCATCCCAAAGAAAAAGAAATGCAAGAAAGCAAAATGGCTGTCTGAGGAAGCTTTACAAATAGCTGAGGAAAGAAGGGAAGCAAAAGGCAAGGGAGAAAGAGAAAGATACACCCCATTGAATGCAGAAATCCAGAGAATAGCTAGAAGAAATAAGAACGCCTTCTTAAATGAACAGTGCAAAGAAATAGAAGAAAACAATAGAATAGGGAAGACCAGAGATCTCTTCAAGAAAATTGGAGATATGAAGGGAAAGTTTCATGAAAAGATGGTCATGATAAAGGACCAAAATGGCAGGGACCTAACAGAGGCAGAAGAGATTAAGAGGTGGCAAGATTACACAGAAGATCTATACAAGAAAGAGCTTAACATCCCTGATAACCACAATGGGGTGGTCGCTGATCTTGATCCAGACATCCTGGAATGTGAAGTCAAATGGACCTTAGGAAGTCTGGGCAACAACAAAGCTAGTGGAGGAGACAGTATTCCAGCTGAGCTATTCAAAATCCCAAAAGACAATGCAGTAAAAGTGCTAGACTGAATATGCCAGCAAATTTGTAAAACTCAGCAGTGGCCACAGGATTGGAAAAGGTCAGTTTACATTCCAATTCCAAAGAAGGGCAATGCCAAAGAATGTTCGAACTATCACACCATTGCACTCATTTCACATGTTAGCAAAGTTATGCTCAAAATCCTACAAGCTAGGCTTTACTTCTGCTTCGTTGACTATGTTAAAGCCTTTGTTTGTGTGGATCACAACTAATTGTGGCACGTTCTTAAAGAGATTGGAGTACCAAACCATCTTATTTGTCTCTTGAGAAACCTATGTGAGGGTCAAGAAGCAACAGTGAGAACTGGACATGGAAGTACTGATTTGTTCAAAATTGGGAAAGGAGTATGGCAAGGCTGCATATTGTCATCCTGCCTATGATGTAGAGCACATCATGCGAAAGGTAGGGCTAGATGAATCACAAGTTGGAATTAAGATTGGGGGCAGAAATATCAACAACCTCAGATATGCAGATCTGCACTTTCTAATGGCAGAAAGTGAAGAGGAACTAAAGAGCCTCTTGATGCGGGTGAAGGAGGAGAGCGCAAAGTTGGCTTGAAACTCAACATTAAGAAAACTAAGAACATGGCATCCGGTCCTATGACCTCCTGGCAAAGAGATGGGGAAGAAATGGAGGTAGTGACAGATTTTATTTTCCTGGGCTCCAAGATCACTGCAGATGCTGACTGCCACCAAGAAATTAAAAGACGCTTGCTCCTTGGGACGAAAGCTATGGCAAATCTAGACAGCATACTAAAAAGCAGAGACATCACCCTGCTGACAAAAGTGGATATCATCAAGACTATGGTTTTCCCAGTTGCAATGTAAGGCTGTGAATGTTGGACCATAAGGAAGACTGAGCACCAAAGAATTGAGGCCTTTGAATTGTGGTGCTGGAGAAGACTCCTGCAAGTCCCTTGGACTGCAAGGCGATTAAACCTGTCAGTCTTAGAGGTGATCAACACTGACTGCTCTTTAGAAGCCAGGTACAAGATGAAACTCACATTCTTTGGCCACCTAATGAGAAGAAAGGACTCCCTGGAGAAGACCCTAATGCTGGGAACAATTGATGGCAAAAGAAGAGGGGGATGGCAGAGAATGAGGTGGCTAGATGGAGTCACTGAAGCAGTCGGTATCAGCTTAAGTGGACACTGGGGGATGGTGGAGGACAGGAGAGCATGGAGGAATGTTTTCTATGGGGTAGCAATGGACCGGACACGACTTTGCTAAACAACAACAACAACTACATCTCCTAGCTGGATCACCAAGATGTCAGCTCGTTTATGAGAGAAGGGACAGCATGTGCCCACTCAGAAGGAAACAGAGTTGTTCGTTCAGGAGGCCACACCAGGAAGGGACATGGTGATGTGGCCATGCCAGGCAGGCAAGACATGCATCTTGATGATCTAGCCAGGAAGTAGGTAGACAAGTGATAAGCCAGGGGATGCTTAGGCAGGCCACAGGCAAGGTGGCTGATCCAGGTGGACAGCAGAGGCAGTATGCTGGGAGGGACGACAGGAAGTGCAGGGGCAGCTAATCAGTGTCCTGTCCAACTCATCTATTGCTAGGGGAACAGGACAATGAAAAATGGTGACTGGAGTGGCTGTGGCTGATCTTACTGCCAAACACATTGCAGAAACAGGGAAATTATGGACAAACCTATTAACTGAATTTACACATCATAGCAAGCAATGCTGAAATACGGAAACCCTAGAACAAACTGTCCTTTTTCTGTAGAAATTCATGGCAACTAAATGTGCTATCATGTTTCAACTTGTTGTAAGCCATCCTGAGGCTATGCAAAGGATGGGATAGAAATGTTTTAAGCAAACAAACAAATATGCTTCCTATATTCACATAAAATGATAAGCCTTTCCTGCCATGGCGTGGTGTTACATGTGAATTCAGCCGATGCATCTCATTCCACAACCTGTTTTACCAGAAATCTTAAGAAACTTAGCACTCTTGTTCTAAACTTTATCAAGGGACCTGATTAGATCCCAAAATTACATAGTTGAGCCTTTAAGACAAAGCTAGCTGAAATATCCAAGAGGAAGTTCAGGTTTCTTATGCCCAAGATCAGAGAAAGAAAGTTGACAGCAAGTTGAAGCAAGTTGGGCTTCTCTGCACATAAGAGGTGTGTCCAGAAAGTAATGAGAATGATATTTTGAAATTTCTTTTACTGAAAAAAATTGCAATTGAACATTGTCTCCTTCAAAGCATGCACATAACACTCATCACGATTTTTCCATTCTTCATAGCATCTTTGGAAGTCTTCAAGTGAGATGGTGTTCAGAGCCTGCATAGTGGCTTTTTGGATGTCATCCACACTACCAAAATGGTGTCCTTTCAAACCATTCTTCATCTTTGGGAAGATGAAAAAGCCACAAGGAGCCAAGTCAGAGATGTGGCACTGTGATGTGTTTTTCAGTCAAAAACTCTCTGACAGCCAAAGCACTGTGGCTCGGTGCATTGTCTTGATGAAGGATCCAAATTGAGCTGATCTCAATTTGTGCCATCAGTACACTTGTGCAGATGATAGTGTAGCTTCTCCATAAGCTTTCCTCACCATTTCCACAGTTTCTTATGCTCTTTTACCCAATTTTACACAATTTTATCAGGTACCACTGTTCCAAACTCACTTGCATTATTCTTAATATGAGGCACTTGAACAGGGTGTCACAAAAAAGAATGTCTCAACTCTGACAGGGCTGAAATACAACTTATCAGTATACCTGGGACCCCATCCCAAGTGCTTTGGCCAGCTTCTCCCTTCACAGAGCCCTTCATGAGTGTAGGGACTTCATTCTCATTACTTTCTGGATACACCTGTATATTATACTCTCATGATTCTTTGCTCATGGAACTTTGCAAGGCCTTTTCATGACATTGTCCTTCTTCGGGGCCTCTCCTGTGTTTTCTAGGATTTTTCACAAATGTGGAACGGCAGTGATGAGGGGGCGGGGGAGAGCGTAAAAGAGACATTATTACCCCTGCAATGAAAAGGGAAGAAGAAACCTCAGTAAAGCAGTAAGAAGTCCATAATCTGGTACTGCCACCCAATTTAATCGAGATATTATAAAGAGTTTGTCCCACATTTTCATTCAAAAGTAAGCAAAGACACTTGCACGTTGTAAGATAAGATATCCACTACTTAAATACTTTCTATGGGTTCTCATTTGCATTATATGAAAATATCCTTTCAGGATGACCCTCACAGGCAGAAGCAAACTGGTGTGTATGCCACTATGGAAGCAAAGCCATGCAGATACAGATATGTGTTCTTCCTATATTCTCAGAGAAGCATCCAAGTAGCATCCATACCACAATATCTCTAAAGATTCTGAACCTTACTGCTGGCAGTTCCACACACCCTGACCAGGGTGTGTGGAACTGGCAGTTTTCCTAAACACATCCTACTGCTGGCAGTTCTCCTAAATAACATCTAGGAGAAAATAAATGCCATGCAGCCAGTGCACGGGCACAATGGGGCAAGTCCTCGGTGAATACAGAAACTACCCTCAGGAAAGAGCAAAAGGAGTAGGAGCACATAAAAAGAGCTATGGATGGATGGATCATACTAAGAGTCCAGCATTCTGTTCACACATTGGCTAACCAAGCATCCTCCTGCTTTTGTTCCCTGACATCTAATGAACAGGGATGCTGCCTTTGATATTGAAATTAACATACAGCTGTGAGGATAAGCAGCTATTGATATTGATAAGAGCTTGAATGACACAGGTGACAGTGGCTGCAAATGCTTGGCAATCCTTTCTGTTTGTCTGAAAAGAATCCAGTATAGGCAGAGACAGCAAGGATTAAACAAACTGTGAAGCTACCACTGAGGAGGAAAGTTCCTAGCACTGTTCTTTTGTAAGGAACAGGCCAGGACACAGGCACTTAGAGAGAAACTCTTGGCAGCAGTGGTGGGCCTTGCATAATGGTAAGCTGCCTTTGAAATAAGTGAAACTTGGTAACAGATAAATATATTTGCTTTTAGTTTGTTCCTCTCTTCTCAACCCTCTTTTAAAAAATAATTAACTAATATAAAAATGGTAGCAGATTTCCTAGAGAACTACCAGAGTCTACCAGCCGCTGAATTATTAAACAACCAAAATACTAGACCAGCCTCAAAAGTTCAAGTAAAGGGTGCATTTCTGATGGGATACTTTTCCAAATTACTCTGGAGGCAAATAGTGCTAGAAAGCCCAAGTGTTTAATTCCATCATCCAGTTGCCAAATATGTTAGGGGATATTTAAATGATCACCATAATCATACTCTTATCAATAAAGTGAGATCAGAGTACATCAGGTATCTACAGGCTGACCCAGTAAAGATGTTCTTTTCATTCACAGGCCTTTGTCATTTCTGTCACTTCTGATTTCATTCCACGCCTTGTCTATCAATATGCATACAGTCACAATGGAACTATGCATGGCTTCGTCAATCACACACTCTCATATTTCAATGTCAGTCATTTCAAGGCTGGAACCCAGCCAGAAAGCTCACCATTTGAATACCAGGTTTCCTTTTGCAGGTAAATTTGATGGATTCATTTAAGACTTACTGTGCCAGTCATCCTAGCATGTGGTTCCATTGATTTTTGTAGGTTAAGCAGAATAAGCACCACAGAGGTTCCTCCTGTCATAGAAGTCCTCAAGTACATTTTCTTGCAGCATAGAACTCCTCCCCATGTCACTTGGGATCTCTAATTAGCCTTGGCTCAGTTGCTGCCTTCTGCTGTGTTGGTAGAAGCAGTTCATTCACCAATGTCTCAGTAAGATCTAGGAGCCACTCCAATGGGCTTCTGTATGTAGAGTGTGGAGTGGGCACCATCTTGTTCTTTGCCTCAGACAGCAAAGCGTTTGGCCAGCCCTGTCTCTAGGAAATAAAGAGGATATTTAAAAAAAGAAAAGAAAGAAACCAGAAATGAAAATAAAAGCTCACACATATACAGTAAGAATAGTCTCTAATTTTTGGCTCCAGCCCCATATAAATCAATATCCCTGTCTTGATCTGGGGAGAGACTTTATGTATGCCTTAGTAACATTCTACTAGAGTGTGTACAACTTGCTGTTATTGACAGTCAGCTCAATTCTCAAATTTGTAAAAATTAAAACTCATAATGTGGATGAATGAACCTTGATTTCAATGCACATTCCATTTCACATCTGACAGATGGTGATATTTGTTTGAATTTGTAAGTATTGCAACATATCTTGACCCAATTATGTTTTTGTTTCCTTTAATTCAGAGAATGAAAACCTTCTTTGATTTTAAACCAAGGAATAGTGTCTCCGGATAAATGAATATAGTAGTAGGAAGTGCCTCAACAGTATACACTGTATATGTGATGTGGAGGAGGGAACTAAGGGAAGATCCATGGTAGAGCAGGGCTGCTCTCCCTTCATTCTAGATTTGCTCAAAGGTTGCGGGGCAGGGGTTTGAGCAAAAGAAAAAAGAAAAAAATCCCTGAATAAAGAAAAAGAGGGGACAAATTATTTGGAGGTGTACACTTCCAATTGCAGTAGGGGGGGAAGGCTTATCTGTTTCGTTTTTTGTGCCAGCCGCCATGTCCACCACTGCCGCACTTCTTCCCAATGAGCTAGAATGCAGAGACAGATGGTTGTCCTTTCCAGAAGCATTCTGGGGCTATGAATGGAAACAGCCTGGACTGTCTCTATTCATAACCCCAGAATGACTCTGGAAAGAAAACTTGTGAGATTTCCCCACAAATGCAAAACAGCAGGGACTGTGTTTTAATAAGTACATTTTTAAAAACGGTCATGAACAAATAATTAAGCACTTCCTTGGTTTGTAGAGCCTTCCCAGGCAGCCCACATACCCCCCAGTCCCTTCTCCTTGACAGCAGTTAAGCTTGGGAAAAAAACCTCCCTTTGGAGACAATGGGAGACCAATTCCAGGCCTACTTGCATTGCAGGGGGTGGCTGGGATGTGCAGCTGAAGAAGGATTAACCATCTCTTCCCCATGCACTCTTACATCCCACAAATTATCTGACTGTGAATGGATGGATATTAATGAAGTGGGCATGTGGTTTTGGCCCCACCCACCTTTACGATAGGTACCCTGGAAAATCACTCATGCTCTTGGTGAGGAAAAACTCCCCACTCTACCATAGGCAATATTTCCCCCATTTACAACATATACATACACGCACACACATACACATACAAACAGACAATATTTGTTTTTACTTGAGGAAAAAGCTGATCTCTTTTATTCTTACATTGCTGTGACCTTTGTAATTCAATGGTATTACAATGATATTTCCCCTGTAATATGCTTCATAGGTTAAACCAGGGGTGTCCAAACTTTTTGCAAGGAGGGCCAGATTTGGTGAGGTGAAAATGTGTGGGGGCCGACCATTCAGCCTGACATTCCTTGAACCATTAACATTAAATGCAAATGAACTATTTTATGAAAGACTAAACAAATAACTTAACTGCACTAATGTGAAGGGTGATACTGAGATCTCGACTGCATTATATAGGCCAGGTCTGGCTCAAAAACAGTGGTTTTGATGCGCAAGATGTCACGCAGGTGAAAGTCACTTAGTCTCATCCTCACGTGGTTTTTGTTAATGTTCATAACCGAGAATGTCTTCTCGCACAAGTATGTCAAAACAGACAAGCTCAGCATTTTCTTAGCAAATGTTTGAATCTCTTGGAACCTGTCTTTATCCAGCTGGTGGTAAAAGGTGACAAGAGGGAGCTGTTGGTGCCGACTGTGACACTCGGCGTCACACTGCAGCTCAATGAGCTCCAGCTGCAGGTGGTCTGGAGCATCATCAGGGTCCACAGAGAAAGGAGATGAAAAAAGCGTGATCTCCTTTTCAATAGCTGCAAAATCCCGAAAGCGCTGTTGAAACTCCTCAGCCAGAGATGAGATGTCTGCTTCATATCTCCTTATTTGCACACTCATATTGTTCTGTGGAAAACTGGTCATTATTTCCTGCAGCGATGGGAAATGTGTGGTATTGGGCTGTGTTTGTGACAGGTACCTTTGGAAAAGTAGCAGCTTGATCCCAAAGGCTTTGATATGTGAATACAGTTGGCTTACCACTGCATTTTGCCCCTGAAGGCTGGTGTTCAGCACGTTCAGATGTTGTGTTATGTCAACTAAAAATCCAAAATCAGTCAGCCAAACAGGGTCAGATAGCTCTGGCATCGGTTGTCCCTTTTTTGCCAAGAATTGTCCGATTTCCTCCCTAAGAGAGTAGAAGCGCTACAGTGCAGACCCCCGACTGAGCCATCTTACCTCGTTGTGATACACAACATCTCCGTATTCAGCCTGGCTGTCGAGTAGAAACTGTTGAAACTGGCGGTGGCACAGGGCTTTGGAGCAAATATAATTAATAGCCTTCATCATCGGTTTCATAACATGATCATATTTCAGATGTTTGGCACAGAGAACTTGTTGGTGAACAATACAGTGGAGTTTTATAGCTTTGCCTCCTTCTTCGCTGACTTTGTTACAGACTAGGGTTGATAATCCACTTTGCTCGCCAGCCATGACAGGTGCGCCATCCGTAATAATCCCAGTGACTTTATTCCACGGTAGTTTCATGTCATCTACGGTGGAACAAACAGAAACAAATAAATCTGTTCCTCTTGTTTGGTCCTTAAGGCTTTGGAGGTCAAGTAGCTCTTCACTCATGTTCATGTCATTGTCCGCTCCTCTCAAAAAAATCAATAACGGAGCGGTGTCAGATGCATCTGTGCTTTCGTCGCAGGCTAACGAAAAAAGTCAAACTCCACTCCTTTTGCCTCTAACTGTCTCTTAATATCAGATGAAATGTCTTCAATTCTCTGTACCACAGTGTTACGAGCCAGGCAAACATTGGCAAACTCTTGCTTCTTCTCAGGACAAATTTTCTCCACCATTTTCATCATGCAGTCTTTAATAAATTCACCCTCAGTAAAAGGTTTGCAGTGCTTGGCAATCAGCATTGCCACCTCGTAGCTCGCCTTTGTGGCATTTTCATTTGACTCACGGGCTCTTGTGAAAAAGCACTGCTGTGCCATTAAAGCAGCTTCCAGTTCCTTCAATTTTTCACCGCGTTCGTTCCCAGTTAGCTTGTTGTAGTTAGCATGTTTCGTCTGGTAGTGCCTCTTGATATTGAATTCCTTGAAAACAGCCACAGTCTCTTGGCAAATTAGGCAGACACAGTCACAGTTGTTTCATATTTCAGTGAAAAAATACTCCAATTTCCACTTGTCCTGGAAGCGGCGGCCCTCGCTGTCAACTTTCCTTTTTTTAGTTACAGTCGCCATTTTAGAAATGGGCACACAAGCCTTGTGTCACAAGGGTCACGTGGTGAGAGTACTGACTCAGGTCTACTGCCATCTTCTGGTGAAATATAACCACCAGCCTTGAAGGAGCAGGAGGCAGCAGGGGACAGCTGCGGGACCGCTGTGCGGTGAAGGGAAAAATGCTGGCTGGCAGGGATGAGTGACAGGTTGAGCTGGCAGGGGGAAGAGGCTGTGGGCTGCTCGAAATTTGAAAACGAGCCACAATTGGCCCCCGGGCAGGACTTTGGACATGCCTAGGTTAAGCTTTCTTAAATGGAACCAATAACAAAGCACAAACACTCCTCAGTGATGCATTCTTGGAATAGGTCGGACAACATTTTATACAATGCTCTGAACTCTCTGGATTTGTTCTAAGTAAACAGTGCAGCGGCACTAATCTGTGACATCTGTAATAATGAGCTGTAATGATTTTTCAGCAACAAAAAATACTTTTAGTTAGCTCATCGCAAATGTTTTTCTCAATTCGTCACTGCTCAAATTTGGATACTCCAGACTAATTTATTTGAATCGGTCATGGAAGTTTTCATCGGGCTCATCAGTGAGGGACTCCTGCCCCCTACCACATCATGTATTATGTAAGAGGAAAGCTAAGTTTGTTACATAGGCAGATTCAGGTGTCACAACAAGCAATTGTACAAACTGTACAAGAGTTACTTGTCATTCAGTGTGAAACAACTTGTCGCAGTGAGATGTGGCACGCTTTGTTTCTGTCAAACAACATGCAGAATCAATGGTCTGTTGTAAGGTTTTGATGTTTTGCCATGGCCTGCTGTCTGTGTGAACTGAAAAAACTAACTTTTTGTGGAGTTTGTGTGTTTCTTCCATAAAGTCCTACAGCAGGAGCAGCCATGGCAGCAAGGCACTCCTACTTCCAGTGATGACTGGCCAAATCCACCTAGGAACTACTGCGTAGCTGGCTGCAGTGATGTGATTATGCAGCTCACTCTTCCTAGATAGTGCAAGTCTGCCTGATGCCGAGTCTCAACAACAGAGTTGCTTGGCAGCTGGGCATCATGCTGCACTGCCTCTGGGAGCAGCATCCATTTTGGGAATCCTGCCAGGATGCTGTGCTGCCTGGGATCAGCATGATGGACTGGGTAAATCCAGCGATTGTCCCGCTCTGGGTACATGTGTGCACACAGGCTTTGCATGGGCATTTGCCCTGCACAGCCTGTGATCCCAGCTGAGGGACAATTGCCTCCTCACAACCTGCAAAGACACATTCCTAGGGAGATGCCCACACCAACATCCCTTAGAAAAGGACAGGTGCCTGCTTGCTGCCCTCTGTGTGCCAGGCTTACAGAAGCTGCATGTGCACATTTGGGGGAAGAGTCAGGCATCTGTGCAGCAGGGAGGGGGAGGGGTGGGGGTGCTTGTCGGCAACAGCACTGCCATGGAATGTGCCAGCAATGGGGGCTGCCACTTTCACCCTTTTTCTTTTCTTTGGTGCTACTCTGCGGAGGCCCGGAGGAATGTTGTCCATGGGGTTATGATGGGTCAGGCATTACTTTGTGACTAACAACTCTGCGGAGGCCCCATCCACTGACTGGCTGCCTTACAGAGCAATGGATAGTCAAGGCCTCTGAAGCAGGGAAGGAAGCAGTGGCTGGTTTTGACCCACCCAGGGAAGCATGCAGACCAATGGGAGAACAGCAGGTGATGTAGGCAAGAGCAGTGCAGTCTGGGATTGCATCCCAGCATTGAAGTTGGGAACTCTTCCAGGGTAAATACTATGTGCCAGTGTGACCCCAGGCACAAAAAGACTTCCACTGCAGTGTAGATACTGTGCAGCATGACTTGTTGTGACATTTGAACACAGCCCAAGTGTTTATTTAACAGAAAGTTAAAGCCAATCTCAGCCCTCTGGTGCATATTAAACACTTTTCTCTTAATACACATGCACATGTTTAGTTTTAACACAGAGCACAAATCAGCCAGAGTGCAGCGTACTATTCATTTTATTAAGAGAATCTAAACACATCCTAAAGAAATTATTTGTTCAAACCAAGAGAACTGTGTTTAAAGCTCATCGATTATATATGCTCAAATATTTCCATTGAAATCAGTGGAACTTAAAGCTCCTTAAACAATGAATGCTCAGTGCCTATTATATTATTGGCAAAATACCTGCCCAAAGTAGAGAACTTTACTTTGTCCCATTGAAATGAAAAGCAGCCATTCATTTATGAAAAGTTTAGTGTAACAAAACTTAAGAGTGTTGGACTGGAACCTGTAAGATCCAGGCTCTAGTCCCTGCTTAGCCATAGAGCTCACTGAGTGACTTTGGACTAGTCACAGACTCTCAACTTACCTACTTCACAGAGTTGTTGGAGGTTAACATGCAAAGAAGGAGAGCTTTGTATAATTACACTGTATGTAAGTAATATTCATGCTGATTCAGGCATTCCAGAAAAATATATACAGCAGGAAGAAGGTGAATGTTACTATCTGTCCTCAATTCACACAGCCAACTCTGAAGTGTACAAGCTCCCCCCACTTTCATTTTGGAAGTCTCTGCAAATTTGGGATTTCAGAGTCTCAGTTCAGAAATTTTACTCACTCTTACTGACTGAAAGCCACTCTTACTGAGAGAGAGGTGAAAAGTGAAGAAATAAGCTGATAAATTAAATCTATTAATACAGTAAGATGATGCTTTAGATAAAAAAATATGTATCCCAGCAGGCAATATCTTAAAAGAAGCACCTCCTCATCTAAGAATATGTTTGCTTGCTAACAGGAGCTACATTCCTTACGTGCAAAAAAGGTTTCAGCTGTAGAACATTTCTCCTGTCTAAACATGTGTAGGATTACACCCTTAAGGTACCAGGTGTTTTAAACTAATTTTGTTTAAAATGTTTGTATGCTTTAGTCTTGGTGCAAGACACTTTGGGTCATTTTTGAGAAATGTGTTGAATAAATTGAAATAATTAGCAGTAGCAATTCTGGGATTAAAATAATTTATTTTTAAAATCTGTCAATTCACTAGTTGAGCAAATTACAGTCAGTCAGAAGATTCAACTGATCAATCTAAATAACTGACTAAACACTGAAACTCTACACAATAGATGTGATTGTACTTGTTAAGTTAAATGGTACAGCCAAGGTATTTTTAAAAAATCTTGAAACATAATGACAGAATCAAATAAGAGTTTTCTGGAGACAAAGTATGCTGATTATGTAACTCTTAGAGAACTGTCTTCTAGAAACTTGAACTAATCTATGTAATGCAAAGTAGATGTTGCTACAAGCAAGGTGCAATGTAAAATAACATCATGACTTCATTTTAAAGGTTCAAGGATTACAGAGAACCGCCATGGTCTGAAAATCCATATGAATTTTCTAAGCAGTACTGGTCTGTTTTAGCTGCGCGTTTGGCATTCGTCATTATTTTTCAGGTAAAAAAAACCCTGTCTTTATTGCTGCCTGCAATTCATGTGTATATTCATTTCTGAGCACCAAGACTAAGTAGTCACTTGCTCTCCCAAAAGGGATCTCCAGGTACTGGTTGACTGCAGGCTAAACAGTAAGCTCCAGGTACTATCAGCAGTGTGACACAGCAGTCAAGAGGGCGAATGCCACCCTTTGTTGCATAGCCAGAAGTGTGGCTTCTAGATCAAGAGAGGTATTACTACCACTCTATACAACTCTGGTGCGCCCGCAACTGGAGTATTGTGTTCAGTTCTGGGCTCCACATTACAGGAAGGATATACCCAGGTTAGAGTCAGTGCAGCATAGAGTCACAAGGATGGTGGTTGGATTGCAGAAAAAGCCGTATGAGGCAAGACTGAGGGAACTGTGTCTTTTCAACCTGGAGAAGAGGAGACTCCAAGGGGATCTGTTGGTGACATATAAGTACGTGAGGGGGTGTCACACAGAGGTGGGTAGAGAGCTGTTCTCCCCTGCAGAGGAGGGCAGGACGCAATCCAATGGAGCCAAGTTCAAGGAACCAAGGTTCAATTTGGATGCCAGGAAGTACTTCCTGACAGTTAGGACCCCAAGGGTATGGAATGGGCTTCCACAGGAGGTGGTTGAAGCCCCATCAGTGAAGGATAGGCTAGACATGCACATGGTGGGCATGTCATGAGTGGAGCCTGCTGGACCAGGGGTCAGACTAGATGGCCCAGGAAGCCCCTTCTGACTAGCTCAGTTTCTATGTTTCTTGGTTCACTGGAATGTCAGTGAATATCAGAAGATGAAATAACAATAATAATAATAATAATAATAATTATTATTATTATTATTATTATTATTATATATTATTGAAGTATCCTGGTAGTCTCTTCAGCCAATGGAGTGTAGAATACACCCACTTTCAACCACTTGAGAAACTTAAGAAGTAGTGCAACATTTCACCATTTTGGATTGTTCTGATTATATTGGATGTATTTTGAAATCTAACAAATTCCACTAAATATCCAAAATGATTCCAGCTTGGGTCTGGGTATGGTCTATACCCTGAATAGTGGCTCTGATATCCAGAAAAGCCTCCACAGTTAGTGTGGAATTTATACTTAATTAATGTTATTTCTCCTTTTGACGTGGAAATTCTTGGTTACTTCCAAGGTTACTTTTCTGGAAGTACTGTCCTTTGTTCACTATTTTGAATGAAGCACCAGACAGTGAATATTTCCTTTATCCATATAAAAAGTTTATATTAGTAGCCATTACTTAATCTGGTTTCATTTTTGTATTGAACAAAGTGCTATTCACAGACTTTCAACATGAGATGTCATATGCTAGGCCATAAACATATGGAAATATTAGGAAAACAAAGATAACTGATTCAATATCTCAACATATGAGCCCAACTTAGATTCTCTCTTGGTGTTATCTCTCTACAGTGGAGGTCCCAACACATCTTTAGGCCTCCCAGTGCTAAGGTATGATACATCACATGCATTGTAAGTGTAATTCATGTAACACCCTCACTACTTTGAGAATTGTCTTGCACACATCTGCCCTCCCCCCATGAACACTTGCAGCCTAGCCATGGAGGTTTTAGTGACTCACATCAATGCAGAAGCTGACATCATTGAAAAAGTAGTATATTTGGAGGATTGGGATGATAGGCAGAACTCATCATGTGCTGCATAAATGTTCTCTGAGATCAGAATACTATTGGACTGGCTTAGAAATGGTTCCATGGTGTTCACATCTTGCACACTGACCCAAGTTCAGTCTCTCTTTAAAAGATCTCAGACAGCAAAGCTGGAGAAGACATCCACCTGAGATGTTAGAGTACTGCTGCTAGCCACAGGCAAGAAGACCCAATTTGGTATATGGCTGTTTAGGACGGTCATATGCATGAATCCTTTCTGATGATTGCTTATATGAACATCACCTGATGCTTCAGCTATGAAGTAATCATGTCTAGATGAACCAGGTTCTCCCATGCCCTTCTTTTCCTGAGTGTATTTGCTTTCCTCATTTTCTCTGGACACAACATCAGACTTGCTCCAGTGATCAGTGAATGCTTTTTTTTTTTTTTTTGCAATGATGAGAAACATTGACTATTAATACTAGAGATGTGTCGAGCTTCTCCAGAACATAGTTTGCACCTGCCAGATAGATTTCTTCACCCTCTCTAAGGAAGTGAGCTGGGCCCAGAAGGAGCCCATGAGCAGCTGGGGACCCCTAATTGAGCAACCAGCAGCCTTCCCCAGCTGCCATTCTTGGTGTTGAAATTTCTCCACTCACTGCCACCAGTGGTCCTGGTGCAATCATCAGAAAGCATGAGGGAAAGGGGTGTAGCACATGAGGCTCAATTCCTGGTTAGTGCCCCATAAACCCTTGGCATGTTTTCCAGGAACTCAGACACAAGTCTGGGAAATTGAGATCAGGGAATCTATTGGGTTTGCTGCCCAAAGAAGATTCCTTGCACATTCCTAATTAATACCAGTACCATGCAAATATAGGCTAACTCCAGTGGTGGCTTGTGGCCACTGTGGTTATTGGAGCAATCCAAGGTGGAGCCAGGTAGTCACCGGAGGGGCAGTCAAGTGTTGAAGCCAAGCCGTTACCATTTGCTACATAATCTCCTTCCTAGGGTTAAGTCCACTTATAGCACCATTTTATATATGCCTACTTAGAAGTAAAACCATGTTTACTGGCACCACTGGAGCAGGAGAGGGGGTGCCTAATTCATGCTCAGACAGAGAAGATATTTAGGGCAAGAGGCATGCAGGCCAGGATGCCTCTGCCAGTTGTGCAAAATAGCAGCAATCAGTGACTCTCTCTGGCTAGCTGCTTAGCAACAGTGGCTAACACCTTTCTGATTCTGACCTTCATACCATGATGGGGTGTGTTTTCTGGGTTCAGACACAATAATTAATATGATTCTGTTCATAGAGCTTCTTTGAATACATTGGAACTCAAAACTAAGTAGACATGCATGAAATTGCTCTGTAAATTAGCATGAATGATCCTAGAGAAGTTGCAGTCAGTAGCTGCAGTAGTCAATACTGAGCCAGATGGTCTGATTCCATATAAGGCAATTTCAGATTATACTGTTGGTGAAATAAAATTCTTGCTGGAGTCCCTCTATATGTGCAGTCCACAAATTGGGATTGGCACAGAAGAGTACTTTGTGGCTTAAGACTGGTTATATTTCCTAAGACCAGTTGTTGTGGTGGCTAGAATGGAGGGATGCTGAACATCTCTAGTTGTTCCTGGATTTTGTCTCTAGTTGTCCCAGGATACATTTTTGAGGGATATTATAAGTGAAACTAAAGAAGTCTCAAGATTGGAAAAATGTCTTGGGTGGGAGATCATAATCATTACAGCTGGTACTTGATGGTTGTTCACTGTCATCATGCATGCATCTTTCTTCTGCTTTTTTTCAATTGCAGAACCTGGTCATGTTCCTCAGTGTGCTTGTTGACTGGATGATCCCAGATATTCCAAAAGATATCAGTGAACAGATCAAGAAGGAAAAGAGTGTGTTGGTTGATTTCTTTTTGAAAGAAGAGCATGAGAAGCTGAAACTTATAGAAAATTTTATCACGCGAGACAGACACAAGACTGAGAACAGTGGAAGGAGAAATCGGGCAGCAAGTTTTTGCCAGTTCAGCCGAAGCCAACGAGGCAGCTTTACATCTTTTAATTCTCACAACACTGATGTGTGATCCCTTTACAGCTACATCTACACCTAAGTGGGTTTAAGACTCCCTCCCTCTTCCCAGGAAGCTCTGTTTCAACATGAACAGGGCTTTGGAACTTTAGCTGAGGTTTCTCACCCTGTTCCAGTTGCCAGGATTCTTTTGGAGCGCAAACCATGACAATTAAACTGGCATAAAGCTAATATGTCTTTTTGTATAGATATGCCATGAGAGGCCTAACTGTCCTTATGAAGAACATGCAGTGTTGTGTGATGTGATTTGAGAAAAACAAGATAGATAAAGCAATATTATACAAATTTTCAGTTTCTCCATAATATACATCCACTATCTATCCTTTTAATACCAGTTTAATTATCATGGATAACACAATTGCAACTGGTGAAAAATTTAGCTGCTTGAGATTCCTAGCCTGCATCATACATCTAGAATTGTTAGGGCTCTCTACAGATGAAATTACTGTTAAACCAGTTTTTGGCATGGGCATGGTCTAAGAAAAAAAATCTCTAAACATTGATAGTCCATAATTCCAAGATTCTGATGGGTTGGTTCTGAAATGCTAACCAGGATCCCTTCTCTTTCTCTCACTCCCATGTGTAGTGGAGGAGGTATGCATCTAGGATGTTTCTCAGACATACCCAAAAATACAGCTTATGAATGTGACAAGCACAGGGATTGGCATACCTATGTATCCTAAGGTACTCTTGTCAGAGAGCTAGGTTTGGTGAGGGAATATTCTGAGAGTAATGTCTGAAATTGACTGCAACTGAAAATCCAGCCAGTTGCCAATCTTCTGGGCACAGGATTTCCACCTGTTAATACATCCCTCAGACACCTTCCATCACTGGTAGAATCATGTTTACTCTCTTGTAGCAGACAGGGCTCCAAAATGTAAAACATTTCTGTAAAACTGAGAAAGATACTGGAGGTCTTTTTGTACCTTAAAGACTTACTGAAGACACAAGTTATTATGGACTGGACCCCACTTCTTCAGATGCCCAAAGTGATATGCCTAGTTGACAGATGAGTACAGGGAAAGCTGGAATTCTTTTATCAACAGCTGTATCAAAGACCACACAATTCAAAAGCTACATTATAAATGTCATGACCTTTTAATCCCAGGCTTCACAATTCTTCACCCTATATCCTTGTGTGTATGTATATCTATCTGTAAGAGATGGGTGAATCTGTCAGTTTCATTTTCTTATTTCTTCTATATTTAGCATAATGTCCATTTCAGCATCAGTTTGTGACTTGTTCATATAGAAGTGTACATTTCTCTTAATTTAATTGCAGATTTGTATGCAATTTTCCCTAATACAAGCATCTTCTGCAAGCAGCTTTCCCTTATAATGCTTTTTGTATATAATAAATAATACACACATTTTGTACTTCCCTGAACATATACATTTTCACATACATTTTTAGTTTGATATATTGCATCTTAAAATTCTGTGGTGCACAAATAATGAAGGGTAACTGCATTCCAGTCTGCATATCTATTTGTGAAGGAATTGGTAAGTTCATATCTAATTAACAATGTTCTATCCCATTCTCTCTCCCTCTCCCTCTCCCTCTCTCTCACACACATGCACACAGATAGAGAATGAGAGAGAGAGAGAGATCTGTCAACTGAGGATAATATGACAACTAAAGTGGTTTTCTAGACCACGAAAGCTTATGCTACAATAAATTTGAAGGGGTTGGACCCACAATGTGCCTTGCAGGAAAGAATGGGTTCTGCTCTGCTTGGATGGGATCCCTTCACTTGCTTTCTGGGATTCCAATTTTCTCCCCATGCCACAGTTCACTCCCTTCAGCAGAGTCTCCTGATTCTCAGTATAGCATTTGCAGTGGGCAGTTGTGGGAAGTAAGGGGTGAGGAAATAAGTATCTGCCTACAGAGTTGACCCAGCATAAATCTGGGTCCAGCTCTTAGACTTTAGTTATTGATGCTAGTAACACAGCTGCCTTTCCAGAGAATATTAGGATTCAAGCAATCACTCACATGATATAATGCATTGCATTTATTTTGCAAACTAAGTCCTTTGCTCAAGAAGTACCTGTGCTACCATGGGGAGAGCCAATTTGTAAAGCTGGATAGGTTATCTTTCCGCCTGACTTTGCTCCTGTGCCTTTAGCAGTAACCTGACACACACAGAGAGCAAGGGTTTTCCCATCACTTTATCTCCATGCCAGAGAAACCTGCTTTTGCTAGACATCTGAGTACCAGATTGTTGCTTGTAGAGTTGCTAGAGCAGGGTCAGTGAAAAAGAGGTCTGCTGAACTGAGTCTCTGATGAGCCCTTAATTATTGGCTGTTATAGTCAGTTATTTTAAGGGCGTATGTCCAGCACAGTTGTAAAGTGGTTCTCTATTCTAAGAGAAACCTGAAAATGGTATGCCTATGAAGGGGAGAATGTATACATCTTTAACAAAGAAGTTCACAACACTGCCAGATAGTGTGGTGTCATGGTTAAGCATGCCAGACTGGGACACAGGAGCTCCAGGTTCTGGTCTCCACTCAGTCAAGAAGCTCACTGGATGACTTTGGACCACTCAATGACTCTCAGCCTAACCTGCTTTGGGGAATTGTTGTGAGGATAAAATAGAGGAAGGAATTATGTAATCTGCCTTGGGTTCCTTGCAGAAGAAAAAAGGCAGGACGGCCTTGCCATGCGTGGAGGGTACTAAAACTGCAGTAAAAGTTCTCTAGAGTTGTTCATTATAGCATAGGTGCTTCCAAAGAACATACTAAATTAGTTGTGATGTATGCTAAAGCTGCAAAATTTAGAAACAGATCATGCCTTGGTGTTCTCGCTGGAATGACACCCAGATTTGTCCATCAGATACACCCTCATTGAACATTTATAGACAATGAGCTCTTTGACATTCAGAAATATTCCAATTTGTATAGCCTCATTGTTGTTGTTAGTCACGAAGTCGTGTCCGACTCATTGTGACTTCATGGACAACATTCCTCCAGGCCTTCCTGTCCTCCACCATCCCCCGGAGTCCACTTAAGCTCACACTAACTGCTTCAGTAACTCATCTAGCCACCTCATCCTCTGCCTTCCCCTTCTTCTTTTGCCAATAATTGTTCCCAGCATTAGGCTCTTCTCCAGGGAGTCCTTCCTTCTCATTAGGTGGCCAAAGTCTCATCTCATCTCATTTGAGTCTCATCTTCAGTATCTGGCCTTCTAAAGAGCACTCAGGGTTGATCTCCTCTAGGACTGACTGGTTTGATCACCTTGCGGTCCAAGGGACTCGCAGAAGTCTCCTCCAGCACCACAGTTCAAAGACCTCAGTCTTCGGTGCTCAGCCTTCCTTATGGTCCAGTTTTCACAGCCATACATTGCAACTGGAAAAACCATAGCCTTGACTACACGCACTTTTGTTGGCAGGGTGATGTCTGCTTTTTAGTATGCTGTCTAGATTTTATTTATTTGTTTATTTATTTAGAACATTTTTATGCTGTCCCATTCGCAAAAAGCCTTGGTGCGGCTTACAAACCAAATAAACAATCCTACAATTAACCCTAAAAATCCGGAGACATTTTGGCACAGATATAAAACCAATAAATACAATCAACAATTTACAATTAAAATAACGTTTAAATAAAAGGTCTTGGCCTGGCGCCGAAAAACAAATAACAACGGCGCCAGGCGGATCTCTCTGGGGAGCGCATTCCATAGGTGGGGCACTACCACAGAGAAGGCCCTCCTCCGGATACTCACCCTCCTAATATCTTTCACAGAGGGTTACCGGAGAAGGGCCTCTGCCGCTGATCTCAAGGGACGGGAGGGCATATATAGATGCAAGCGCTCCTTTAGATAACCAGGTCCCAAGCTGTTGAGGGCTTTATAGGTGATAACCAACACCTTGAATTGGGCCCGAACTTCAATGGGAAGCCCGTGAAGCTGACGGAGGACTAGGGTTATATGAGAACAATGCCCAGTCCCCGTCAGCAACCTGGCAGCTCTGTTTTGCACCAATTGAAGTATCTGAACCGTCTTCAAGGGCAGCCCCAAGTAGAGCGTGTTACAGAAGTCTAATCGGGAAGTTACCAATGCATGTGTCACTGTCGCCAGGCAATCATTCTCCAGATAGGGACACAGCTGATGGATCAGCCAAAACGGAAGGAAAGCGCTCCTCACCACCTTCGTCGCCTGAGCTTCTAATGACAGCTCTGGGTCGAGGAGCACTCCCAAGCTGGGGACCCTGACACTAAGAGGGAGTGCAACCCCATTCAGGACAAGGTCCAGGTCCCCTACCCCAAAGCCCATCTGTTCATATTTCTCCCAGCAATCTTAATTCCAACTTGTGATTCATCTAGCCTCGCATTTCTCATGATGTGCTCTGCATATAAGTTAAATAGGCAGGGTGACAGTATACAGCCTTGCCAAACTCCTTTCTCAATTTTGAACCAATCAGTGTTTCCATGTCCAGTTCTCATTGTTAGTTCTTGACCCGCATATAGGTTTCTCAAGAGACAAATAAGATGGTCTGGTACTCCCACCTCTATAAGACCTTGCCACAATTGGTTGTGATCCACAAAATCAAAGGCTTTATCATAGTCAATGAAGCAGAAGTAGATGTTTTTCTGGAACTCCCTAGCTTTCTTCCTGATCCAGCGTATGTTGGCAATTTGATCTCTAGTTCCTCTCCCTCTTCGAAAACCTGCCTGTACTTCTGGTTGTTCTCAGTCCACATTCTGCTGGAGCCTAGCTTGTAGGATTTTGAGCATAACTTTGCTAGCATGTGAAATCAGTGCAATGGTGCAGTAGTTTGAACATTCTTTGGCATTGCCCTTCTTTGGAATTGGAATGTAAACTGAAGTTTCCAATCCTGTGCCCACTGTTGAGTTTTCCAAATTTGCTGGCATATTGAGTGTAGCGCTTTTACTACATCGTCTTTTAAGATTTTGAATAGCTCAGCTGGAATTCTGTCACCTCCAATAGCTTTGTTGTTGCCCAGACTTCCTAAGGCCCATTTGACTTCAAATTCCAAG